CTAAACCCTAAGCCCTGAACCTTAGCTCAGAATCATGAGCCGCAGTGGCTGAGCATCGTGGTGAAGACATTCTCGAAGTAGAGTCGCGATGCCTTTCGCGGCTTGTTCGGGTCCCTACTACTGGGTTTAGGGTTTAAGGTTTGGGGTTTCGGGTTTAGGGTTCAGGGTTTAGGCTTAAGGTTTAGGGTTTCTTGGGATTTAGGGTTTAGGGTTCATCTACCAGGAGTCGAAGGCTAAAAAAGGATGTGTGATTTGGGGGAAATGTATAGCGTTCAGGGTTCAGGCTTTGGGCTTGTTTAGGGTTTAGGGTTTAAGGGCTTAGGGTTTTGCATTTATGGTTTTGCATTGAAGGGCTTGAAGGTTCCGGACAGTCATCCCGTTGCCACCTTCGCCCAAACCACGACAAAGCCATGTTCTGAGCATCGAAGCCCCAAACCTTAAATCCCAGCGGCCCTAATAATTATCGGGTTCTGGTGTCTACTATAGAATAGTTGTATGACAGAACCCCGAGAAATGGTATTAGTAACTATTCCTACCTCTACATCGAACGCCTTCCAAAGTGATTTGGGATTTGTCTTCCGGGCTTCTGGCTTCCGGCTTAGGATAGCAGGTGAAAGTTCTCGAAACGGGGTGTCTTCTTACAACTCCCCGGTCCTTGAAAACAGACAAAACCGAGAACCTCCAACATAGAGTTTAGGGCGACACAAAGGGCCCTTTCAGAAAATACGTGTAACCCTACGAGTTAGAATCGGATTTGGGCGCACCTCACAGCTGCATGTCTGCGATGTCGGATCTCAAATACGACTTGGGGAAGCTCGCCTACACCAAACCTAAACGCCTGGTGTATGACGCTATATAAGAATAGTTCGAGTGTTTTCGCGTTAAGCAGCATTCAAACCATTCTTACTATGTTACGAGTGCCATAACGGGGATAGTATCACTCATTATCCAAACTCAACACTCTTTGCAGCTTAGTAGCTAAAGCTGCCAGTCGGACTAGTAGGGGGCTTTGTTTTCGCTTGAGGGGTCAAGGGTTTAGGGTTTAGGGCTTTAGGGGTTTTAGGCTTTAGGGCTTTAGGGGTTTTAGGGTTTCGGGCTTTAGGGGTTTAGGGTTTAGGGCTTTAGGGCTTTGGGGTTTAGGGCTTAGGGCTTTTCGCATCGAGGGGCGCCAGGCCCGTGGAATCCTGAGGACTTCCCCGGACTGCATACCCGAAACGCGAGATCCTAGAATCCTAACCCTAAGCCCAGGACCCTAAACCCTAAACCCTAAACCCTAAACCGTGAACCCTATTAAACCCTGAACCCTAAACCCTAAACCCTAAACCCTACTGAGCTGCGCACATCCATGATCGTTACATCCACATCATGTGATGCCGGTAGCTCGTTGAGGAAATCATTCACAGCCTTGGCGGAGGACGCAGGAATAGAGCTTGCAGTCAGAGCAGCTGGGTTAAGGGTTTAGGGTTTAGGGATTAGGGTTTAGGGTCTTGGGCACATAGGCGCCAAAGGAACATGCACAGTGCACATGCTAGTCTTGTGAAGCAAAGCTGCCAGTGCTCAAGACTGATTTGTTTGAAGATACACAAGGCATGCATGCACACATACATACACACACACACATACAGGCATGCATGCATACATACATACATACATCCATGCATACATACAGACAGACAGACAGACAGAAGGACAGACATACACACATAAGTAAATTGCATAAAGACACAAAGACATGCAGACACACGGACAGACGTACATGCGCACACCCATACATACCTACATACCGGCAGTTGCATGCCGACAAACACATGTCTGAGAACACTGCCTGTTCAAGACAATACTTTTGCCGGAGTAAGATCCCTGCCACAAGTTGAGGCATCTGCCTTCACTCAGGGTTCCAGGGTCCTCTATGAAAGCCTCTGCAGCTTCGGTGAGATTCTCACCGAGTGACAAGGTTTAGGGATTCTCCACCGCCGCCTTCAACTGAACTGTTCAACGTGGCTTTCAGGCACCTCGATGCTGCCGAGTTGCTTGCGTGAAGAGTATCGCAAACACATATTCCTCAAAAGAGGTTAACAGGTGGAGTCCCTTGTAGGCTTTAGAGTTGATGGATACCCTAAACCCTAAACCCTAAACCCGTTTAGGGTTTAGGGTTTAGGGTTGAGGGTTTCAACTTTCTGGCTTCTGCTTTGTAAAATCTCGAGACAGAAGTCCCAAAGGATCAAGGAATGTAGCTAGCAACTTATACGTAGGGCTATAAGTGCGCCCTTGATGGGGGTACCTGTGATCTCATATTCCAACTCATAGCCGGCTTCCTAAGTGTCTGAACCTTGTATCGGGCTTAAGAGTCACGTGTCTCCGGGGTTTTTGAAGATTTGCTTCAGGAAACAGCGCCCTGTGATGAAGAGCTTGTTGCTTAGGCTCAGGTTTTAGGGTCTGGGGGCTTCATGTTGTATTGGGTTCGGAGATCACGGAAATCCGTCGTGTCTTGATAAACCACGAGCACACTATTCTTTTGCATGTGCTCCGTCATGAGCCTGACGAAGCCTAGGTCTCATGTTACTGCCCCTAAACCCTAAAGCCTAAACCGTCGGATGGCTTCACATCTAGGCGGCCCCAAGAACAGATCAGAAGCTGGCCTCGGCAACAGAAGTTCGTTTCCGATTCTCATCGGCTCCAACACGAATGAAGCTGAAAATTCTTGTAGAGGTCGCTTACAGGATATGCTTCGCAGTGCCTCCGGCCAACCCTAAACTCTAAACCCTAAACCCTACTCAAAAAAACCACAACCCTTGACTCTAAACTCCCTAAACCCTAGTCCCCAATCCTTCAGAGGACTGGGCGCCTAAACCCTAAACCCTCATTCCTAGCTCCCTAAACCCTGAAACCAAGCCCGCCGGGGCTCTATGAGAAGAATCAGCACCAGCGCCCAAAGCAGTGATTTTAAGGTGCCAAAGATCGACGTAACCTGCGGCTTCAGGGTTAGAGGGTTTGGGGCTTTGGGAGTGTGGGGCTTCAGGAAGCTTAACCATATCTATCTGCAGAGTCTCCGATTTTCTGAGACTCCCCTGTCTGGCTTCGTTCCCCACTCCTTTGTAGCATTAAGCTCGGATGTGATAGGCCACTTTTGCAGCCTTTGGGGTCAGGAACTAAATGGCTTTAGGGTTTAGGGTTTCCAGAGCTAGCACCCAACTAGAACTTGTCGAAAAGGGTGCTCGAAGGTACGCGAAAGAGACTGTATGAGGGAATGGTGCCACCGGATTGTTGGTGGACAGTCTTCCTTGGAGGACGTCGTGTAGGATATCTTAATGTCTTTCAGCTACACCAGCTGGTGTATACCGTGAACCTAAGCTGTCCCTCCATTCATATCCTCCAGACCAGGTACCCTGCTCCTTGGTGTTGATTGGATGTTCCAACCTCCGCTCAAGTCTGCGTAGAGCAGGACATCCTACAGCTTGTGCCAAAGCATCTCAGCAAAAAATCCCGAAACGTCCTACCCTCCCAGCCCGTCGCATCAGTACCCTGCTGGGTGTAGCATTATGCT